ACCAATCGTCGTTTTCTTCAGCTCTTGGTTTCAAAAGAAGAGGATTCCCAATAACGTTGTGTTCAAGATGTTGAATACTGCAGTAGGGGTAGCACTGAATTGCATTTAATTCACAGCTGATGCTTAAAAATGCTACAACAGACACTATTGAACACAATACTGTTTACTAGCTCTTATACAGTATTGCATTTTATATCAATAGGCTGCAATGATTAAAAAAGCGTACAGTGTTGCACAGTACGCCTGGTATACCCAGCGTTTCTCCTAGTCATTTCCGCCAGACTGTATAAGTGCGTAATGCCGTACCTAACTCCTGTTTCAACCAAGGCCTCTCCATAAAGCCTCCTAAACGGTAGACTGTTTGCCGATCTAAAGCCACGGGCAAACGATACTATGAGTTGAGTAAACTACTAGGACTCAGCGTGTGCAATATATGAAGAGCGTCGCGCGATAAACAGTTTGAGGTCTTTCTCATCCGAGTGTGGAGGCCTTGAATTTAGAGGATATGGGTTCGAATCTCGGGGTTCGGTCCCACTGTTGTGTCATCAGTGTCCTTGGGGACTTTATACCTAATTCTTTACTTGACCCGGGTATAAATGAGTACCTAGTTTCGGTTAGGGACGTTCTGTCGGATGGGACGTTAAGCTGGAGGTCCCGTGTTTCGTGAGAGCCACACCTCAAGAATGTTAAAGAACCCACCACACATCAAAATTAGTCGGGGTCCATCCCGGTGTAAGTGGTTCAAACCTTACTATATGGTCTCCGGATAGTCACTCGTTACACCAATGCTACCACAAATGTGGCAAATCCCGATACATGTATAAATAAAATCTTTACACCGTAGCGATGGAGAAACCATCACAAAACAGTCTCCTCTGTCCATTAACAGGACGCAAAATAAACAGCACGAGTAGACCGTGTTTGCGCCTCGGCAGCTGATGCCACGGCAGTGGGTAATGTACCCGGATTTACCGTGTCCTGAGGGCATCCTGGTGAGACGACTGCACTTGGCAGTTGACGCCAAGGTGCCGAAATGGCGCGAGTCAAGACAAATTTCAGAGGGCTGTTCTCTTAAGCTTGAGCAAAGTTCAACGTTTTTGAAAAGTTGTTACAGCTTTCCACACCTTTTTTTATGCTTAGAGATGTCAGATGTGCCCACGTCTGCGTCAGATGAGGGTCAACGTAGTTTTCTTATTTTCCTTTCAACCGAAGATTTGGTGGCTGAACTGCCGCCTTCAACAGGGAAAATTGAACTTTTTCCTTGTCCCAACATTTGTCGTGATCACCACATCAGCATAAAGAAAGATGAAAGTTGTCGTATGGTGACAACAATGTTGAATTGATTTCACAACCTGATGAGGCAATCTAAGGACCGTAAGGTTACAGTTGTCGGTAATCAGCTGATGCCTAACAAAACTGAAACTACTACAACGACTGGTAATTACCCTCCATGAAAATGGGGGTACTGTTTTTACTCCGTTTCATGTTTGGTCTGATATCTGAAGATCGGTGAGAAGGAACTGTACGATATTTGGCAGATTGATGGATGGGGCCTTGGAGATTGTGTAGGTTGACTTTGAGCCCCTGGTGATTGACCTTGGTACTGCAGTTTAATTTTTTTATTCTGTTGTTTTCGCGTTATGGACTGTTTGTGCGATATTAAGGTAGCATGTAGTTGTTATTACCATGGTTTAGTGGTTTAAATTTGGGTCCCCTAGCTGTTTGCGTTTGATATTTACAAAATGTTTAATGTTGGACTTTTTGTGTTGAATGTTTGGAAAATCTGGGGGATGGTTTGGTATGATTTTTGGTATGTGGGTAGTTGTTGAGTCTCTTTGTGTTTTGGAGTGCATTAGCAGGTTGTCGCATATTTTTATTGCTTAATTTAAAAGGATTTTCACTTTTTCACCCCTACTTCATAATAGGATGGTCTGTTTGACCCAAAAGTTGGGACAGAGTGTTTTTGTTTATACCTCCAGCTGGTAGGTCAGACCCAGGCAGCCCTATCTATTTTTACCCCTAGACAGTCTGCAGGAAAATAAATCTTGTTTGTCTGGTCTGCAGGTCATTTGCCTGGTCATTGACCTACATGTACAGGCAAGTGTAGCCTGGGTACCATCCCCAGTAGTATATTCGCAAACTCTATAACAGTTATAGAGTTTGCAAATATACTACTGGGGATGGTACCCAGGCTAAGGCAAATGACCTGCTGGCCATCAAAGTAAACAAACCATGGTAACAAGACAGTAAACGCCTGCACATGACAGCTTGATAAAATACAAAGTGCCACCACAAATCATTCTGCTGATAAAAACAAAGTTTGACTCATAATATCTCTATTGAAATACACCAAAAGATTACAAAATAACAAGCTATTTCATGGAGGGATGATGTCTACGACTTCTCATTGTTTCTGGCAGATTTTGGTTGGTTGGATCCTTGTAGTCCTTCCTTCTCAGATAACAGTTATCTATTACTCTTCGATGACAAAGATCACGTTTTAAGGCAACTAAGACCAGATTCAGAAGATCAAACCTTATACCGGAGACAGTAAACCATTCAATCCTCGTCACAGCTGGCGGCAAATTGAGGGCATTGCCCGGACATGGGAACCAGGTCTCCAGATTTCAGTATATCAGTGAGACAGTAAAAAGTGACAAAAGTAGTTAGATTTTTCCCCACAAAAGTTACACAGGTGGTTTTAACATCGTTTTTGAACTTTATTACACAACAATTGTCCAACATGGGTACAACGTTATAGTTCTTGTTTTTGGCATACGTTGTACCCTGGACTATTGTTGTACATTAAGGGTCATTCATATGCAAATAGGTCAACAACGAACACACGTCACACAAACGTCAGTACTTGGAAAAATAACAAAGAAGTTACGACAATGCCTTATACGGAGTTTTTTTAAGAACAGTAACCAGAGGAGTGTCCATGTGGGTGTTCTGTACGTCAGTACTCCCAGGGGAGCTTCGCGCAGCAAACGTCAATGGGATCATTTAAAATCTCAAAGCGGAAAGTCTTTAATTATTTTCTTAAAGATGCGGAACATCAAAACGACCACGTAAAAAACTAAACTATCATGCTAGACGGTACAAAAACCCTTACGATCCAGGAACATATTATACTGACAAATTTAGAATATACAGCCCTCCTCCCCTCTAGTTTCAAACAGTTAACGATAGTACAGTGTGAAATCATTATGTCAAAACTGAATTTAATAACAAAAACTTTTGCTGACAGCTGCAAGTTCCAGGTTTTACCGAATATGAATCCAATACGCTGTGTGTACTAAATCATCGATTGCAATCAACATTCTCCAATGGGTAGATGCAAATGACCCATCTATATCAAACCGTTAAATATAATAGCCCCTATTTAGTAAGCCCTGTGCATTCAGACGCTTGTAAAGGTCAACCGCGCACACCCGGGATCGATTCACAGGGCCTATTTTCCGAGCCATTTAAACCGGCCCAAATGGGCAGGGAGAGGTTTTTTCCTTCTCAAACAGCAACCGAAAGTAAAGCCCCGATTGATTGCAACTCTGTACAATAATGTCATTGGGGGAAGCGACGGGCTTTTAAGGCCAACAAAGGAAGAGCGACGCCCTCTCCTTTCAAGAAACATCCAGCAAACGCGAAGGCCTGAGAGGCCAATTAGCGACAGAGAAAACGTCGTTAGGCCCTATCAACCACCATGAATGCAGATGGTGTGGTCATTGGGAAAATATCTGAAAGTACCATAACGAGCGAGCAGACCAAGAAGGTGTCCAATTAGAAAGTACATAGAAAAAACAACTACCTCGTACGATTAGTCCATATTTCCTGGCGGAATGGTGATTTTTTGCTAACTGCCGTTCTTAAAGCCGATCTGACTCCATTATCGATTTTGTTAAGTATACGCCGCGGGAGATTTCCGGCGAGTTGGTTTAAGAGTGATAGCCCCGTCAGGACAGTTTCCACACTTTGTCCGTCTTGCGGGCCATGCCTTCAGACGGGGGATGCGCCACATGTCACGATTTAGCATTTAAACGTAAGTCTAAGTATGGCCAAATGGTATTTTCTAGAAAACGTCACTACCTAGCAAGTCAAAATAAAAGAAAAAAAATCTCGATAGACCAAATAGCTTTGTCTATATTCATTTTTGACCATTTCCGTTGTTGGCGTATTCATAGTCAGAGTCAGATGACTCAGACGCACACTGTCCAGGGTGCCAGAGTATCGCGGCCCTGCAGGCCCGTTTCTTTAGTCAAGGTCCATAACCCGGCAGGGAAGCATATGAATCTCGCAGGAGCTGAACAACTTATATCCTGGGAACCAGGGTTGATGTACGCTGCTTCCAACTGCGTTGACTTCTGCATCTCCCACTTCCTCTGGTACAAAATGAACTATTATCTTATGTAATCCTCGATCATGAAATAAATGAGGACACTCTGTCTCGTATTCTTTTCTTCGGGGACATTGTATAACCCAGGAATGGTATAGGAAGGACCATGGAAGGCGGTTGGTGAATATATAATTTGTATCAGCGCGGTATGTTACGTTTGGAAAAGCAGAAGAGCAGAATCTGGTAGAAAATTACATGACCTCATCAAAATTTTTGATCGGCTTTAAGTAGAATCCATCTTTTGAGGTAAGGAATTCGCAGAATACATAAGCCTCTTACAAGGTTGCCAGCTGAATACAGACCCCCCCTCAAATAAATGATGTATGTATTACGGATCATCAATGAAGTATCACTACATCCTATGACAGCCAGGCTGGTAGGACGTTGATGCATTTGACATATTTATTCATTTATTTGTCCTCCCAGATTTCAAATTCAAGAAACAAAGAGCAGGGGATCGGTGAGGAGTCGACAACAGAAACCTAGTTTCTCTACCAGGCCGGCTCCTCATAAACTTCACAATGTATAGAGAAATTAACAAGGAAATCAAAGGAAAGTCTAACACCTAGCTAATACCACTGCTCTTTCTCTCTCTCCACCTGTGCAGATAGGGAACCTGGAGGACCACTACCTCTTCCGTCACAAAGACGTGCCTCACCGGTCCCGCAGAGAAGCACACCATCACACCAAGAGGCTCGGAGACGATAAAAGGGTGAGCAACAACAAAACACATTCTCACAAAACGCACACGCACAAGACGGTGCTACAATAGCTAAAAGATGTATGGGCAATTGTGTTGTAGAAGATCTTTACTTTAATGACTGCTTCAGAGGCTTCACAGCCAACGAGCACTTCTCACAGATCTGTCATCTTGTAGTGTGCTGAATGGAGGTTGAGAAGATGTGAATGTGGTTCCTTAGAAAACATGTTGCAACACGACAATAGAATTCTAGGAAGGTTTCTTCAGTAGCAAGAAACTATAATTGGCTGGCAAGTAATCAGGTAGCCCCCATGGATTTTAACGCATGGTAGTCTACTACAATATGAAACGCAGCGTGTGTCGAAGCTCCAAATGGCGTGTGATCTGTTACTTCAGATGAATGTGGACAGTATAAATAGCATTGACGTCTGTGAAATAGATAGCACAATGTGTACCTGTACATCATGTGTAGGCCTTGACGTAAGGGGCTGACGATATGCTATGATACACGTGCCTACCTAGCCACGTGACCGGTAAAACATACAGTTTCCATTGTGACCGAGTAGGTGGTGTTGAAAGTAGATGTTAGAAAAAAACTTTATACTTTTCCCCTCTCTCATTGACATCTGCCATGCGTTCTTGGGATCTATGAACATGTTATTGTCCGTACACGTGCATATATATCTTCAAGTAGTAGGTCTCGTATGGGCCATGAAAAAGTAATTCTACATCATGTACTTATTGTGCACGTGCATCTAATGAGAAAAAATCCACTAGGTTTGGTAAAATAGCATTGAAACCACCTTACAATGTTAGTGCTGAGACAGATACAATCATAAGACTAAACACCTCGCCCTAGCCTCCGACGTCGTAGTAACTGAATCTGCAGCTCTCACACATCGCTCACTGGTGGATGCGTATGACCCGTGCATGAATATTGAACTACGTTTTTCACGGATGTTCACAGATACAATGGGTGGCACAACAGGTGGGACGGGATCGGAGTAAAAGAGGACCCATCCCCCAACAACCCCGGCAATCAGACAACCCCGCACCCCTGACCTTCATCGACCCTTACTGGGACAAACAGTGGTATCTGGTAGGTCAATAAACTGCTGCTCTTGTCGAACAATGACCATTATTGCCGCGTAATTTGAATCAAGTTGGTGAGCAAATGAATGGTATCGTTCTCTATTCACAACCGTTTGCTTAATAAAAGCCTACAATATTCAAGTGGTTGTGAATAAAGAACCTTGCATTCCAGTGATTCATCATTTTGCTATGACATTTACAATCAACTCAAATATTGTATGTGCCATGTTCCTTTTGTGATAAACCGCCAGTAAGACTGACATCATATGACAAATTTCTCATTATTTCTACCATTGTTTCTTCAACATAGGAAGGTTTTTGAAAGTATCATACTTCGTTGTGTGTTTTGATGTCAATCAAAACATTCTTAACGGAGAATAAAACGTATAGTTTCTCGTTTTACTGCCAGCACGACACCAGAACTTCGACGAACCTGCCCAAACTAGATCTGCACGTACTTCCGGTCTGGAGAAAAGGCATCACGGGAAAAGGAGTGGTGGTGGCCGTGTTGGACGACGGGATTGAAAAGGACCATCCAGACCTCAAGGACAACTATGTAAGTTTCAACTATTGCACAAACAATGAATACGTTGGCATTTAATTAGATTAGATCACGACCATCCGTGAAACTCTCACGACCAGATGATGATGAGATCACATGCATGTACGTCGTGCGCTCGTGGTACGATGATCTTGGTATAGTCGTACATGTGTTCTAGACTTGTCTTAGATCCTTGTCAGCGGTTGGGTCTGTCACAGCCTTCTTGAAAATTCTACAGTATGAAAATCCTACGATGATGTGGAAGATCCCATTCTGTTACCTTGGCGTACCTTGGGCACCATTCCAGTCCTGAGTCTAACCTCAAAGTAATCCTCTCAGGATGATACCTGAATTGTGTTACATTGTCATTCCAAGTTACGTTGTCGTGTAAAATTATATCACAATGTCTCAATGCCATATATCGTTTATGTTACAGGATCCTGACGCTAGCTATGACTTCAATGACAACGATGACGACCCCCAGCCAAGATATGAAGAAACGAATGAAAACAAGTAAGTGTCTACCAACATTTATTGTCGACAGTTTCATATCACCAGAAAGACATGTTTTAAGTACCTAGATTGTCATATATTCATTCAACTTTTTCTGTGCTTGCCTGCCTGCATGTACATTCAAGCATTGTGAGTAATCAAACTGCATAGATATGGGACTAAGTCACCAAAATTCTACTCCATTTAAAAACGAAATCAAAGATTGCAGTTTTTCCAAGTTGACGTTGTGTGTCAATGAACTTTATTTTTGTAAGCACTTACTCCAGCCGTTATACAAGAACAGCACCACTTCAGGTGCTTACATAAACCAAGATTTGCCGTCACTTTTCATAGTACTATAACACTATAACATCAACACTTCATACGGTTGGTGTTCGCAAAGGTCATCTACTGAAGCACAATGCGATGTGCTTATCCCTCCCGAGACCCATTTTTATACAGGAAAGAGCTCAGGTTGCGGCGCAACTTTGGTTACAATAATTGGCATTGCCATGGGGATAAACTAAAGGGTCTCCATTGACATTGTGCAATGATGATGACTAACGATTGTCATAAGTTCGTAAGTTCCAGATTTTAACAAGATGTTCCAGATTTTAACAAGATGTCGTAAATCTTGGACGAAACAAAGATGCAAAAGCAGTGTCGTGATTATGGCCTATTTCCTTGGATAGGGGGACTGCAATCAGAGAAAGACGGTCTCCACAGAGATTGATACAGGATGCTTACATGAAACGTGACACATGTAGGAAACAGCATTAAAAGATATAAGATACATGTTAACGTTTATGCTAATGTTGGTTGGTAGGCACGGGACCCGCTGTGCGGGGGAGATCGCTATGGCGGCCAACAACTCTCAGTGCGGCGTGGGAATAGCGTTTAATGCAAGGATAGGAGGTAAGAAAATCCCGAAATATCTGCTGCAGGTTCTGCTGCATTCCACACAAAAAAGCTGCACTGCTGTCACATAACAAATTGTAGCATAGCATGCACTGACGCCACATTTTATGGTTTGATCTCGACGTCGATGTTCTATGTGTACAGTGGCTATTTGTGGGTTGAAAACATTAAGGCGAATATGAAACCGTACAAACGGCTGCTAAGATTAGTAAGACCAGACTAATTTTGGTACAATCGCTCCTGCTTCATCTCCCACCCTAAATCCTCACTAGTTCTCAGGTGTCTTGGAGAAAAGTTCGTCTTGATTATGCTAAACCGTCGCAAAGCTGGGCGGCAGCCAAGGCTTTGTACCCAGAGACTTGATTGAGTATCGGTAAGGCACTGCAAGTCTCGGGTAGGCGTCGCGGGAGACCGAACCGTCCTAGACGTTTGGCATTTACCAAAGCAGGATCGCTTCTGAACACCGCCTGACATTAAAGTGATCTCATAAGTAACGTCCAGAAAGGTTTGCACTCGAAATCACTCGTGAATTGATACCAGATAAGTGGCGTTGATTACAAGGTGCGGGGGCGAGCCAATGGGAGCACATGTACAGTTCAGGCCTTTGTTTTGCCTTCTTTGTGCGTTAAATGAATGTATACACATGCATGTCTTCTTCGTGAAGTCTGCCTTAATGGTAATCAGGCAACGAATAGCATGGTTTGATATAAGATATAAATTCATGGCGCAATCAGTGACGATCGTCAAATGTAAAGCCTTTTCATGGTCAAACTGCACCGTTACGATGAATCATGTAGTTTTGTTGGGTGTATGATTGCTGTGCTCTTTCAAATCTGTTCCTGTAACAAATTTCCAATTTTTAGATATTTTTTTGGGTAGAAAAAAATTGGATTACTCATCATCGTCAGCTACGTTAACTCGTACTTCTTTTTTTTTTTTTGGAAAGTTTGCAAGAATAGGGTTTTTCATGATTGCTGCCGTCTCTGGCTATGTCCAAAAACCATGGATTTTACTTCGGCGGCAATCTTTGTTGAATCACAGCACCATCCCCCGCTTTCAAACATGGATTATGGATGATTTCCTGCAAATCTTGCAAGTGAAATACTAGACGTGATTTAGTCAGAACTGATATCGAACAGCTAGTCGCATAGCTAAGGGATCGTAAAAGTATGGGATACTTGCTGCAGAACTGCTCAGATGTGAACATTTTGAAGGACAGTTTAGCCTCGTGAATCGCCTGTCACGTGGACGTCTTCTCTCCACGTGCGACCTCTGAAAACTAGGAGTCACACGAAGACAGCTGGGACCTTTTACAAAATGTTCTTTTCTCGTTAGCCTGCGCATAACAGCTTTTACAGACTCTGTATGTTAGGGACACATCCGGCGAGCCCATACATTTGCACAACGACTGGATTCAATTATCGTTGTAAATAGATGGCGTAAAAATATATCAAATGACATGGCATTCATATGCGCGCTATCCAATTAACATGGTATACATACATAGTTTGGGTTATATACATCTTGACGTGCGTGCAGCCGCAACATGAAATATGATCACCTTCACCTTCTCCTATCCCATCTGGAGGACCTCTGACTACAAACAGGCGTTCAAAATATCGTAACGTCATTAGATTGAAGTGTTTGGAGTCAGCATATGCCCGATCTAATGAGGGAAACAGTAACGTGTCAAGTGCCAGGTGGGCCTAGCAGGAGACCCTTGAAGTAGCGACGTGATGTCATTCTAGTTTGTGCCTTTATAGCGTTTGTGTTTTATGAAGTTTTCCAATTATTTAAAGGCACTCCAAGCAATTTTATGGCAGCAAAATTGTTTTCAAAATAATGTTTTTCTTTATTTTTTTAAATGCATTAAGTTGAACCTACCATAGCATACTGACATCTGTGAGGCAAATATGCGATGTCGCCGACAGAAAACGTTTCTTGCAATTGTTTCGTATCGCAGGCTGGTTCTAGTAATTAATTGGTGGTGCCAAAAAGTGCATTCCTCTTGTTTTGAGACTACTTGAAACGCTTCAGACAGATTTTATCATCTGGAATGTTTTTTTGCTGCCCTAAAATTGCATTAGATGTCTTTAATGTTTTCTGAGCCGTGTGTTTGTGGGCGGACCTGTGGGTGGTGTCGTGGGCAGCATACAGAGCCCGATAGCCTGTGATAAAGAAAAGGTTGATTCTGTAATAACATCTTGCTTTGTTCTCCTTCAAACCAATCTTCAAAACACCTTTAATAACCAGTGGGCCGTTATATTGGGTGGATTTGTGGGTGGGGTTGTGGTCGGCTCACGAGAATTTGCAGATGGATCATGCAGACGAAAACATCCATCGGCTATTCCGTCACATAGCTATGAACAATGTGCAGCATATTTTCATCATCATCGTCATCCACATGTGTTCTGCTGTTGCAGTGGTCTGGACACTCATCTCACATAGCAGGAAAATAGCTTACCCGACAATCTGCTAGCATACTATCGGCCCAAGCCTACATAAATTTTTCCATGCATGAAATGAAAAGCTATCTGGCACCGCAAAATCAAAAACCAAATCGCCATCCAAGGTTTTCTTTCTGACCGTATAATGGAATGGTCTTAGTCCCTTTTTTTATGTCTGCCATCAGAATGCTCTTGTATGCGTTGGCTCTATCAGGCCAGGGCTATTCCTTACGTAGAAACTTTGTACATAGTAGAGTGGATTTCATTCTTCAAGCTAACCGACATCTAGAACACCGCAGTCGTCCATCAGTAATACACCTGGAGCTGCATAGTTCCCGTCTAGAACTTTTATTGGCCCTGTTGTAGCGGAGTTGTAATGGACGCATTGGAGGCGAACTCCCGTTCACTCCCGAATGTTTTAAACATTTTCTGTATCTGTATCTGTATCGGTATAGCCGGTATTCGGCGTAACACACCAGCTTGAAACAAGGTGCAGCCGAACATTAGCCGACCTTGCTGAACACCAGACAACCACAGCCGACCCATTCCTAACCATGGTCGATGGGAGTTTGGCGATGTTCGGGAGGCCATATTTGGCCGCGTAGACTATGTAGAAACTTTGCTAACACGTCCTTACTTTTCTGATCTCCAGGAGTGCGCATGCTGGACGGGGTGGTGACGGACGCGGTGGAGGCGAACTCCATCGGCTTCAACATCCAGCACGTGGACATCTACAGCGCCTCCTGGGGACCTAACGACGACGGCAAGACCGTGGAGGGGCCAGAGAAACTCGCTAGGGCCGCTTTCGAGAAGGGGATCAGGGAGGTCAGGACGGATACACGAATACTTGTTTATTATTTGTTTTGTTAATTGTTTATTTGCAGTGTGCACATAAAAAAAACATTAGTTACAAATACTCGTATATCATTTCCTAAATTACTTTTACAACATGTACTATCTATTTAGGAAAAACAAAAGTGACGAACATAAATCAAACCAGATACACAAGAAAATAAAGTTAGCAAAAACTGAACTACAGGTAACTGCATAATTGATAAAGTAAGACAAACTTTTGCACCAGTCAAATCTTCAGTTATTATACATAAGACAAAGTACAAACATTAATGCCAAAATAATAACAAATCAGATAATCAAAACATTAGAAAACAAGGAAAACAAACAAAACGAAGTCTTATGACAATATATATGGGCTCTCTCTCCCTTCCTCTCTCTGTCTGTCTGTCTCTCCCTCCCCTATATAAATATATATAAATAGCCTTTTTAAAACGTTGTCTACATTTGGAGCAAAATACAAATGCAGCAGGTTCACTGTCTAGACATGTCCTTCTCAAAAACTTCTTCGTTCCTATAGAATCTTCGTATATATATAGGTAATTGTCTCGCACGCAATCGTTTCACAATGCAGCGATAACCATACAACGGAGGAGTCTCTTCAACTATGGCTTAATGGACAGCTAGAATTTAATTGCGTCGTAATGACCAATCTTACTCCAATCTTGCTGTTAAGGCCCTTTCTACCATTGTACTTGGAACTTTTTGTTCTTTAGTTGTTTTTCTTGTTAACCGTGGTGACATGGTAACCACGCACAATTTACAAAAGGAGGGCAACGTGCCATCGAGCACACAAGTACGTGAATGTGCATGTCTGCAGTCTCTTATCTCACCTAAAAAATTGTTTGCCATATACCGGTGCGATGGCAAAGTGGGTGTGATCCGCTTGCATTCGGACGGTACGGTCGTGAGTTTGGTCCCCGGCCGAGTCATAACAACAAACTTGAGTAAAAACAAGTACATGCTGCTTTCTCTGCTTAGCATTCAGGTTTTGGGAAAGTGCACATAAACAAACACAAAACATGGGTATGGATGTACAATAAAGCAATTCATTCATTTATTCATCGATCATTCCATCCATCCATCCATCCATCCATCCATCCATCCATCCATTCATTCATTCATTTATTTATTGTTTATCTATGTTTACCAGGGACGTGGCGGTAGGGGGTCCATCTTCGCCTGGGCGTCCGGTAACGGCGGGAGTAACGGCGACAACTGCGACTGTGACGGCTACACCAGCTCCATCTACACGGTCTCCATCAGCTCCGCGTCCCAGCAGGGCAGGTCCCCGTGGTACGGAGAGAAGTGCGCCTCCACCCTGGCCACGGCCTACAGCAGCGGAGAGTACAAGGACCAGAAAATTGTAAGCCAGCTCCTCCTCTATGTACCAACATAGCGTAGTCTACGATCGTCGTGTCTGTGTACTGTGAAATTCAGCTGCTGGCTTGTGACGGAAATGGCTGCCTTAGTTTATCATCGGTGGTTACTTCTGTTATGGTGGCACGTCAGCATAACGCAATGCGTCTGCGCGAAACCCGTGATGTATTGTGCATAGCACATCGACAAAACGTCTCGTTTAAGGTCGTACTCGAGTATAACAAGGGTGGCATCCCGCCCATCGTTTCCAAATGGTGTGTCGAAAACACATCGTCTGCAACGGCCGGTCAAACATCTGACGCAACGATGACCAAACATCCAACGAAAGCCGTGAAAAATTTCCACGAAGTTCCGCGAAGGTGCAGTTCGGTCTGTTGGCGTGCTTGTCATAGCCCGCTTGAACAGCATCAAAACCGTTCAACCACCTACAACGTTGTTCATTAGGTCAATACATACATTTTCATTTTCACCAAGCACGTAAATACTAGGTTCTTGTATTTCTATATGTGACACCTTATGTTGTGTGTTTCCCCGTGTACAGAGCAGCACGGACCTGCACCACGCGTGTACGGACAGCCACACGGGAACATCTGCCGCGGCACCGCTGGCTGCGGGCGTGCTGGCGCTGGCTCTGGAAGCAAAGTAAGCCCCTTTAGACACTTACCATCTTACCAAACTGAAATATACTACTTGAAAGCCCAATATCATTGCAGCTTTTGCTTGTTGCAGTAAACCGCCTTTAGGTTTAACATACCAGCATTGTACAACAAGTACAAGCTGCGAAAGACTGTAAGATTTGATCCACTTGACACCTTGATGGACCCTATACTGAGCTACTCTTTTTATAAGTGTGATGGGATCACGAAAAGTTGAAGTTACCAAGTGGTAGTAAATGTCAGCGGGTAATAATTACATTGTTAACAGTACTAGGCTTTAAAATGGCAGCACATGAAAGTACCGGAACTTGACTTCTATCTACTGCAATTGGATTACATTACCTGACGTAACTAGCATTTACTGCCATTCGTAAATCCACGTTTCAATGTTTATGAAAACATATTTATGTTCCAGCCCGGACCTGACGTGGAGAGACGTCCAGCACCTGATCGTGTGGACATCAGAGTACGACCCTCTGTCCAGCAACCCCGGCTGGTTCCAGAACGGCGCCGGCTTGTGGGTGAACTCCCGGTTCGGGTTCGGCCTGCTGAACGCCGAGGCCATGGTGGACATGGCTCTGACGTGGAAGACTGTACCCGAGAAGACCATCTGTGAAGTCAGACTGGAGAACTTCCAGCCGAGGTAAGAACTACTCCAAATCTACTTATTTTTATGTTTACCTGCGCAGAAGAAAAACATACTGTTTTTGCTATGTTTCATCTTCTCTAAGCGCATATGACCAATGACCTTAACCAGACGGCTGTACATATGGTAACTGATGCTGTAGCAGACACCCATTGGTTTTGGATTACATTGTAGCAGAATAGAGCCGGAGAGGCTGGTCACCATCTACTATACAAGTTCATCGCTTTGTAAATTCAGGAGAAGGGTCGACTATGTGTAAACGTTGATAAGTAGTTGGCTATCACTGAAGTCATTTTGGTTCTGCCTAAAAGGACCCTGGGAAATGGTGAGGAGATCAACATAGAGATGGAGACGGACGGTTGCCAAGGCGACAGTCACGTGGGCGCTCTGGAGCACGTGCAGGTCAAGACGACGATCGACTACACCCGACGTGGAGACCTGAGGATAGTGCTGACGTCTCCCTCAGGTGAGCACAAGATATGTCATGATCTCGATGATCTTGACTTGTAGTAAGTATATCAAGACCTTGGTGGCAGAGTATCAAAATAAACCCGAGAAACATTTCCCTGTCCTTGGTGCTGAAAACATAGAGTTATGAGTGGGTCCAATTTACATAGCCATTCCCATTTTAAATGACATGACAAGAGGTATGTCAAAAGGTCAGATCCAGAAAATGGAGGTGAGCTTGAAAGTCACGAAAACCCAACAAACTTTCCGGAAGTCTGAAGTCTCTGATTTCTTGGTTGTCTTGTTTTTCTGGTCGGACACACGAAACGCGGTCAGCTTGAAAGTCGCCAAATACTTAAATGGTGTATGAAATTGTTTGTCTCGTTTCCAGGCACCCAGACCACCCTACTGGACACCCGTCGTCAGGACAAGTCCCAGATGGGTTTCCAAGACTGGCCGTTCATGTCCACTCACACCTGGGGAGAGAATCCGCAGGGCAAGTGGACACTCACCATCGAGGACAAGGTCAGTGCTAATGGCCCGCATAGTGCTACAGTAACTGAAAAGTCGATACTGTTTAGGTTCTTAATAAGCTTGTTCATGGTTCAAAGTGCTCGCTCAGCCATACCCGAAGCTGTAGGGCTGATCTCAAAGAGGATTTTAGCATGTTCAATATTGATGACTCAAGGAAACCATATATATGCAGTTCAGCGTGATGCAACGTGGGTAATATATCAAAGTTCACCCCGTGAACTAGCCGATACAACCTAACGGTGCCCGTATGGTTTACGGGAGAAGAAAAAAAATGGATCAAGTGTTAGTTACGTACTCAGATTTTCATCACGTTGTCGCCACATACCATTTTTGCGATGAATGTCGATATCCATTGGAATTGTGTTGTTTGAATTTATCACCTACCTAAATGTCTAGAATATATTGACTTTGAAATCCGGTATTCAGGTCCTGAAGCTTCACCTTTGGGAACCTTTTACTTATATTTTTCTCTTGCCGTCCAGTCTGACCACGCGGAGAACAACGGCGTTGTAGAGGACGTGGTGCTGATCCTGCACGGAACGCCGGAACAGCCGGCCTACCAGTCCGGAGGGAGGGTGTACACTGACTACAACCGCGTCCAGGACGACAGGAATGTGGACAAAGTAAGGACGGAACCTATCTCCTCACTGTCTCCTCTTTAACTTCTCAAGGTTTCTTGATGACATCTAAGCTTCAAGCATGAGACCTATTACAATTGTTAAACGTTAAGACAAAACAACTCATTGTTCTACACCATCTCTGCTTCAGTCAGACCATGTCCATGGTACAGTCAGGTAACAAAGAAAAAATGACCAACGTACACGTACTGGCACTCAATTAACGACTGTATACATATATCAAACGTATATTCAAACTAGAAAAGTGACATTTGCAAAGTAAATGACTTCACATGGTCTAGTCTAACAAACTACTGCTCTGTTTATCTTACTCAAACACATTCACCAGCCACTCCAACTCTGTTCTATTACATAATGTAACCCAACACCACAGGGTGTCTGCTATAGCACCGGTTGCCATGGTGACAGCCGTCTGGTCCGGGTCATTGACCTTATTTGTTTGGCGATGAGGAAGAAGAAACAGAGTATAAACAGTATATTTTCCTCTGCGAAGGTAAACTTAACAGTAATCATTGACTTTTTTTCTCCAGTTCGCTGCTAAACCCGCTCCAGCCTCCGCTGCCGAGACCGCCCCCGCCCCGGAGTCAGAGGACCGAGTACCGATCTCCGAGCCCGTGGACTCTGCAGACAGCGTGGTGAGACATTAACCATAAATATGCCCCACGGACGAGCGTTAAAAAGTGTTAGAGGATCCGATAAACTTGGCCTGAACGACCGTGACTTGTCAGCCGCCATGCTGGACGGAAATATCCGAGGAGTTAAATGTTAAGTGGGGCTGTAAAATAAGTTGTATAACTTGAGTTCAGCCCCACTTCGTCCTTGTCTTGTATTGCTTTATTCAATTTAAAAAAAAAATATCCGAGGAGACGCCATGGGTGGCACCTTCTAATGCTGAAGTCACATTTTCAAACCGGGGCCCGGCCGGGCTGTTTCGATTAACGAAAAATCAACAATTTATATCAGGAATATACGTTCCCAAAACTTCCCATTATTATTTTTTTCAACGTTTGGTGGAGCTTTTTTGTCTATTATATCATACTTTTCGTTCCATAAGACTGCCCGGCCGGCCCCCGGTTTAGAAATGTAACTTCAGCATAAGAGGATGAACTGAACTTGTAGAAGCGTAGATACCTAGTAACAAGTCCCAACAATAATGTTATATAAATTATGTAGTATTTGTATAGATGTATATATTTTCCTACTTTTGCAACACTAACTATAAGAATACCAGTTTCCCACAAGTGGTTGCAACATCAACACACATTGGGTCCACTTTTTATGTTACAAGCAAATGCAGCATGAAATCTGATAACGCCACTAGACTTAGGTGTTGTAAGTCTCGCACCTGTCCGATCTAATTAAAGGGACAACAACATTTCAAGTGCCAGCTAAGCCCAAAAGGGCAGCCTTGAAGTAGGATACCATAAGACTTATAAGTGGGCGTAGCTTTAAGGACTCAAGTGCAAGCTGTTCTCCTTGGTTATGTCTTATTATATTATTATATAACAAACGGTACTGCATTATTATTAGAAATTGTAAACAAACCATCTGCTGTGTTCTCACCAGATGTAACCTGGAAGCTTGAGAAACATTATTTTTACATACAAAAAAAGTTACTCAAACAACTGGTCACTGAAGTAGTAGATGCTTCTTGAAACGGCTGACAGCATTCAACATCTATCCAGTTGCTTGCATTGAGTAACTGTTTTCTTGTGACTATCTTGTGACTATTCCTGTGGTTATCTCATGACCTGGACGTCTAGCCTTCATCGACGTATTATGTTTACGTGTTTCAGAAAATCGCTAAGACTCCAGCGAAGGAGACGGAGTTCTTGGTGAACTGGCAGGACAGGCTGGCTGGTGACGGGAGTGAGTTCAACCCCGAAAACTCGGACCCGTTCCAACCCGCAGAACCTGAGGCCGACACTTTCATGGACGGCGGAGACCTTCGTCCCTGGGAAGCTTTCAAGGTACATAGAGACTTGATTGCAAGCTATTATACTTGGTTATAGTGTCCTATTTACAAAATACATCGCTGCATTAATAAAGAAATGATTGCTGAAATCATGCAATATGTATTTTCGAAAAATCATTGAATCGGAGAAAAAATACAACAAACATGCATATGTAAGAATCAAAATGCATTTGGCACTATGAAAATTACCATCGTCCCTGTGGAGTTTTCAAGGTATGTAGAGACTTAAGCGCAAGCTGTTATACTTGGTTGGCGTCCTATTATAACAGACGTTAGAAAAGATTGCAACGTCTGAAACCTTACAAGATATTTTAAAACACATACATCAAAGCGGCGATCAAGCGGTAAAACTTCACCTCTGGCTGTATCTACCAAAATTCCCTTGCGGAGAAAAAAATGCAAGCATTTGGCACTGCGAAAATGACCACGAAAATATTGGCAGACCCATTCAAGTTTTATTCCAAAATAATCCAAACATCTGAAGTTTCCATGGAAACAAATGTACCAGAAGGACAACAGGTGCGCTGTGCTTAGTGCCGGCCGGATATGTTAATCTCCGCTATAGTAAGACTGCTGTGTGCATGGGACCAGCAACGTGCTGTTTTACATGATTAAGCAGTTTTGCGTGAGCAAAACGCACGCCAATATTAGCACCGAAATGCGCTTTTTGGGCGTAGCTTTAAGTAAATATTAAGTACTGCAAAGCATCACGCGCTTATTTGTAATATTCTAGACGAAAGAATGGATTTTTTCATGCATGTCAGCTTATCTCATATTCAATCATTTGCGACCGTTTCGAAGGCACATGATTTATGTAAAGAAAACTTGAAACAGAGCTCCACGCAACCTCAATGTGGCTTCTATTATCATTACTTATTTTCTTACATTTGTAGCATTGCACATAAGGTCCTATATCTACTACTATGTATACCATATACTGCTGTGTGATACATGTGTTGTTACACTGATTTGCGTTACGACGACATTTGTAACGATCTTAGAGACTACTTGGTTTCTTAATGACAGGAAATTCGAGGCAGAAAGCACAACCTTGCGTAATGCTGTTAAGAGATTATCATTTACATAATCCACGGTGATGTTTGTGGCATACTAGTATATGATTCCAAGAAATACTTACAGATCATTAATAGATCCTCAGGACCATAATCCAAGGAACAGTCCGGGGAGAAAGAAAAAGGAGTACGGAAAATGAGAGGATAACATCAGAGAATGGGTGGACCAGCATGACTTTAAGTTAAAACCGATATGGATGGAGAAAAATAATAGCAAGATAGAAGAATAGTTCGATTTTTGCCCATTATCAATGATTTCCTACATACCTGGCCATGCTATGAATGTTGTTTTATTTATTCATTTGTTGTTGTTGTTGTTTTTGCAGTACCTACATCGGCAAATGAAATCACCAACCAGGCCACGTCACCCTGCGCAAGCGTACTACAAGCCATCGCCACTGTACATCCGGGACCCGTCACTGGACATCCGGGACCCGTCACTGGACATCCGGGACCCGTGGCCATCCCAGAATGCCCTGGGGGAGTCAGAGGCTGACCTGGTGAACTACTACCTACAGCTCCTGGGCTACGACCCGTGAAACATCCGCACCAGGAATTGAAAAACGGAACCTCAGATACCGGAGAAAACAGAAAGAAACAAGCTGGTCTTAGAGAATAAAAAACAAATTGTAGACATCACGAATGCTTACCGTCTGATACCGTGCATATGATATGATATGATAAGTGATTTCTCCATCAGGTTTCCTATCTGTGTAAGGTATATAGTACAGGAGTTCGTATACGAACAAACGAGCTTTATTTTTGATGCTTTAGAACAGGAGTTGTCGTACTCCCGATATCCACAGTGGGAACAGGTGACAAACAGATTAGAAAGCAGATGATTCCGTTGACAAATGACGATGACATCTCGTTTCTCTTCTTATTGACGACATAATGTTAGAAAGTAAATGCCTGGTCCACACAGTTGCGGCGTAAAAGAACTAAATTGAGGGACCATCTCTCCATTGTCTTAATATTCATCTTCTAAAGAATCAATAGATACATAGTGTGTGTGTGAGAGAAAGAGAATGGGTGACCAGTGGGCGACAATTTCTAACACATCACACAGGCAAGTACTTTACCTCAATTCTATATCACCAGAGCAATTTCCTCCGTACATGTTTCCTTGCGCAATTTTCACCCGAATCGAGCTAAACAGCCTGTAACGTCGAAGCAATGGGCAATAGCCGTGCTTGATATTGACTTTGTGAGGAATAGATGGCTCGGCTGCAGTAGACCAATATATGAGTTGAAAAAAATTATCTTTAAGCTGGCACACTTCATAGAATTCAGTCTCCAATATTGTCCCCCGTCCCTCATCGTTTGATGCACTGGTCATTTGCCTAGAGCGCTGTTGGAGAATACTGTCATCTTCCAATACCACAAATTTGCTTTAAAACTCCAAAACAAACGTAAAACCGACATGAAGGCCCCATTGATGGTCTGTGTGGGCGTGGAGAGCAATTTTGACATGAAATTGTTCTTGGGATATTCTGGTTAAATTGTTGGGACGCATTTGACTATTTCACTCTGACAACTAACCTCTGCCAGACCAAATAGTGTTCCAGAGAGGTTAGCTGGTTAGAGGAGGAAAAGTTGCAACCCTAGGTTACTCTGGCATACTATTCAGTCTATTTGGCCAATTTCTACTATTTTCCCTGCAACTTGGGAGCCTGGTAGAGGCTATATGAAAAGTTGCAACCCTAGGTTACTCTGGCATACTATTCAGTCTATTTGGCCAATTTCTACTATTTTCCCTGCAACTTGGGAGCCTGGTAGAGGCTATATGACCACCTAGCCTGACTAAAGCAAGCTCCTAGCGGCCGGCCCGCACCAGAGTCTGCCGTGAGGAGAGAATTTTAAACCACAGCCAGGGAGAGATTTTGTTGTAAACACAGGCTATTTGACCACCAAGGTTTTACCGTCTAAACAAATGTTGAGTTTTATTATGAGTACTCAAGTAATTTTAAACTGAATGATGATGGCAAGAATCAAAGTCACATTCGTGTAATTCAACACAAAATACTCATCACTTCTCTTAAATAATAGTTAGGTAAATGTTGCTACTGACGTCACGGTGAATAGGCATGGCAGCCGGTTCAGAATTAGTCGCCGCTACTCGTGAATAGAGAGAGTTCTTTCGAGCGGCAAACAATACATAATCATCGTGATCATACACAATTGTAACTTATCAACGTTTGCTTTTGTTTGCTTTTCAAAAGAACGTTATTTACGACCCGTGGTGCCAGGTTCTGAACCTGCTGCCATGGTTACCGTGACGTCACTTGTGGGAATTAACTGGCTGTCGAAATCAAGAGCTGAAAGGATGATTATCAAGATGCGATGTTCCCTTACGTCAGAAGAGCGTATTTTGTCCAAACGTCTTTGTTCATTGAATAATGCCTATCACGTTTGACTATTCTAAGGAACTATTGTATTTCAATGTTATTGGTCTCATGTCGTCTTTAAGCTGACAACGCTAAAACAAAAATAAACTTCGCGTTGACGAGTACGCATTGTCGGTGAAACACATTAAAAAAGCCGAGGATCCTAAACTTTTACATAGAGAGTATGAAAAACAGAAATGTCGCCATTTTTCCGTCAACATTTTATCCATGGAGGCCCAGAATGTAAACAAATGATACGGCCTCCTATAATTAGTGCACATGTGTACGTCAGAACAAGACGGGGGTAAGAACATGCTGACCCTGTCAACGATACAAAAGAACATTCAACCGAAACCACGGGGAAATGATGTTGTTAGTAAATTCTTGTGTTATCTCACGAACTCAAGACGCCCAAATGCTGCAGATTGGTATCAAGTTATAAAGACTTTGACAATGACTAAGATAATGTTGTACGTGGCTACCAGATATAAGAACTATTAGCCTGGTTACCAAACCTATTTTAGCTGCCGAGTCTCATTCTTCCTCTACGCAAATTTAGGCCATGTTGATTTGATTATATGGATGACATCCTCCGGGAGCCCCAAAACTGATGCGCGCGTGCGAATAAAAAAAAAGTTTTGCAAAAAAAAAAGTTCTTTTCATTATGAAATCTACATGGTCATGAGGGTTGAGCAAATGGCACAGAATATGGTTTGGCGAATAATCTAGTCTTCAAGTTCATTTCTTTACAATTTCGTCTTTTTTCGTTTGATTTTGGCATTCTACGACATTGGTACCGGTATAGTTTTTATTAATTTTTTTTGTAACTTATGGTATATTTTTGTTCATTTTGCAACTGTTTTGTACGATTTACAGTATGGTTGAAAACTTTTTTTTTTGGAAACGGCCGAAAATTCATGCGCGCGTGGATGTCATCCATATAATCAAATCAACATGGCCTTAACTAAAGAACTATATCATGCTTCAGAGATCTGTATCTGTTCCAGTCTTGTACCCGTACCTGTATCTGTATAGCGGGGTAATCTGCCCTTCTGTGTAACACTCCAGCTTCAGGTGATTAAAAAGAAATGAAAGACGTGTACAATCAATTTGAAACTTCGCACAAGTAAGTATTTTGAAATATTCCAGATGCAATAAAGCGATTTATTCCCCTACATCTTTTTGGGCGCCTTTCTGTCTAATGATCATAGGTATGGTTTAGTTGGTATACAATGTAAATCAGATAGGTGGCGCTGGTACACAGGACATTAGTGTGTAACACGTTGTATCTAACACAAAACACTTTCAAGGTGCTGACAGGTGCAAGTACAGAGCAGACAATGGTTACCTACAATGTGAACTTGCAAATTACCAATTACTTTTGAAGACTGCACATGATGTAGAAAATTTTAAAAAATTATAAGTGTCTAGTCAGAGAATGTTTATTTGGGGACGACGGGACCTTTTCTAGCTAGCCATTTAAACTCCTTAAAAATATTCACTGTGCTGGTTTTAGTTAATTCTCAACATTTATTTAGCGCTCCAAAGCAGTCTGGTAGCCCGGTCGTTGCCATTCGAAATGGTCGATGCAATACCTGAACGTATCATAACTTTTTTGAAGGGAAAAATACATTCAAACAGCGGCAGCATTTCAATTGCAAGTGTACGACAGTATATCGATATTGTCAAAAATAGTAAAGGTAGTAGTAAAACAATAAATAGTGCATAATCTCGGATTCGAACCCGGGTCAAAAAGCCTAAAATCCTAATCCTCTACCCCACGAAACATCAGGGTGTTGACGGATAGTCTTAATACACTTAAACTTCTGCCGTTCTGCGATATGGCATCGACCGTTTCAAGCGGCAACGACCGTGGTACTATACTAGACGGAAATTAGCAGGACCAGACGCCGACCCTGCCCACATAACGGTACGTATTAGCGACAATCGGCAGTTCGATAATCGGCCAGATGGCCGGGCCTCCCTGACCGGGGTAGTTTAACATCCATACAAAACGTGTCGTGCAAATTTTTGCCGAATCGATCCATCCCTTGACCTGCATCTCTAATTGCCTTTACCGCGTGATTTATAAAGTCATTCAATAACGATGAATAATTCACCCGGGTTCGGCGCTGTCACGTGACCTCGTGACCGGCGCGGTGCACTGTGGGAAACGTCAAATGGGGGTTCCATACATTATTCCATATATTCCGTATCAAAGCACAACCGTCATTGACACCCTGAAGCGGGATGCTGGGCTCAGAGACATTACCACAGCAGAACTCCGCTCACTGATGGAGGACAGGGACGAGTGGAGAAGAAGAGCCCATTGTTCCCCGTGATGACATCGCTGATGTCCACGTTCAAGAGAGAGAGATAAACATTCCGTAAAGTGCAACTATTTGGGACACAGCCAACGTTGTCTGGCTATTGTATCCAGAATCGTGCCTGTCTGGTTTGATGCCTGAATGGGTCAGGATTAGGATCAGGAGGGGTTCTCGACAGTCTCCACGTATCAAAAAACGTATATCTGCCCTATGTGCGGTCACGGAATACGGGTAGACTATCCAGAACAGTGTCTGAGCATGATTCTGGATAAAGCACGGTTCTGGATTTAACACTAGGTTTTGTGCTGCAATGCATGACCGCAAAAGGACGTCATATACATATGTTCCGAATTGTTACGTAAAATAAGACCGTGGCATATACATGTATCTACTGAATCATCTTCATGCATCGTCATATAGCATTGAACGGTCCATCATTAATTTAATTCCGTAACAAACATCGGTAATATTACGTGTTGAATGTACTTTTAATGACAAAAAAATATCATAATAGCTGATCTTTACACCAACACATTTTCCAGATCACGATGTGCATCATATATCTGCTTTCAGATTTCCACCAAAGTAAGAGAAACGCATATTATGAGAGAAACCACCACCTGAATGTGTTCTACGGTCTCGTTACGAACCCGTTGACTGTAATGTTCGATATTGAAGAATAACCGCCTAAAAATTTCCCAAGGCACCACACATAACGCGGCAATTATTGAGTCATTGCCCTGCGTACGCGTTCAGTATCCAAAGATACGGCCCATCACTTACTACACGGAATCCAATGTAATTTCAGCGTGGTAATACAAAAATAATATTCTGTATGAGGAAATCTGTCTGATATTGACATTTACTGCCATTTCTTAGCACATTTCGTTATCATTTCATTCTTGAGGGATGTAGCAAGCTAGATCCAGCCTACGATACACCACAATCAACCATTTTCCATAAGTGACATCGCATTTCTGCCTCCAAGATATCAGTATGCTATGGGACAGCGTTGATTCAAATTGCTAACGTTACATTGAAATAATAGAATAAAAGAATGAATGAAGAATGAATGAAAGATCTTTATTGCACATTTTTGCTCATTGCGAACTAAGTACAGGTCATGGGCATGGTAAATAGCGATGGTAGACAAAATGTATCTATAGTAAAACTACATATTATGTACAGGTTCTGCTTTTAATGACCAGAAAAAGACTTTGAAAAAAATCCAATCCAGATTTGCCGTCCTGAAATTGTATATTATTGGATACCCCATATGTATTAAGGCGAGCTAAAAGGTCCGGGAGAGCATGTATCTGGGCTAGACAACACCCTCGTTACTCATCCGTCCGCTGGTGTGGTGTGTCACCTGCTGACCTCACGGCGACCTTCTACACGTAATGCCACTTAAAGCTGAGCTTCTCTACATTAATAACCCATCACCCCAATACTACTGCTGGCTTTGGGACATCTAGGGAGCAGACGTCAGAGCAAAACACGTTCGACCGTTTGGTCAAATTTGTTGAGAAATAACAGTGAGATTTTCTGACATTAGCCAAAAACCAAAGATAATGTGGCGTTTAACTCTTCGTTTCATATTTATTCTAAAGAATCTAGTGTAACGCTGTGACTTCCATAGCTATTTG